ATTTATTATCTCACAGTTCTCGAGGCTAGAAGTCCAAAACGAAGGTGTCTGCTGGGCACTGCTTTCCCAGCCTCTAGGGGAGGACCGTCCCTGGCCTCCTCCAGCTTCTGATAGCCCCCGGCATTCCTGTCACTCCAGTGGCCACCATCTTTCTCTATGCTTGTCTGGGTCCAACTTTCTTCTTCTCCTAAGGACACTGGTCTAACTGGATTCGGTGCCCATTCTATGCCAGTATGACCTAACCCGCTATTTTAACCTTCCTCTTCTCAAAGTGGAATCCAACAGGTGACCTCTTTGTTCGTGGGTCAACACTCAGCCACTGAGCCACACTGGCCAGGCTTACAAATTAATCTGTTTTGTGATACATTTATGAAATTTTATTCATGTACAATATATACACAGAAAACTGCTCAAATTATTACATGCACACTTAATGAATTTTCAAAGTGGATCTTCCCATGGAACCAGTTCCTGTACATCAAGATACAGAACAGGAGCAGCTCCTGTAGCCTCCCTCATGCTTCCCACCCCTCCACCCATTCTCATCACTACCCCTCCCAGGGCTGGTCATTATCCTGACTTCTCACTAGCCTATGACATGGACCTCACACCAACAGTCCCTGTGAACTTTCTACAAAGGGAATGATAGAGTATATGTTCTTTGTGTCTGCTTTTTTTCACTCAACATTATCTTGTGAGATACATTCCTATTGTCACTTTCATCACTGTATGGAAGTGACATCGTGTGATAATCACTATTTATTGATTTAACTCTTAATAGTGGTGCTGTGAGCTTCCTAGAATGTGTATCTGGATGCACAAAGGTACTCATTTTTGTTGGGTGTAACCTAGATTGTAATTGTTGATCATATGGAACTGCCTGGGTTCCCTTTACTGACGATGAAAATGAGAGTATAAGAAAGGGCAGAGATTTGTCCGCAGTCACTCAGCTCCTGAGCCAGGCCTGGGACTTGGATTATTACCTCCTTAGGAACCTAGACACTCCTCAGAGTCTCACACAACACACATTAACTCATGAGTTGTCCTTATCAGCTGAGCCTTGGGTAAGACGAGGCTGATGACCAAGCACGAGAAAGGTAGCTGATCATTGGTGCCAGCACCGTAAATACCAATTCACATGGGAGGAAGCTGGTGCTGGCTCTTCCCTACATCTGATCGAAGAACAGTGAGCGATGTGTGTCCCTGACTAAAATAGATTTCAACTCAGCCTCCTACAGGGCCAGGCCCTGTGCAAGGTGCTTCTCCCACATATCATCTCATTTAATCTCCTGAATAAGAAACAGATCATCTCACATCCATAAGCACTCTAAAAGCATAATATCAAAAAGAGTATCTAAACTGTAAGCAAACTGGTGTAGTTTAGAATATTGCTTTTCAAATAATATATGGTGAAGGACCAATCCATCATATAGACCAGTGTTTCCCAACCTTCTCTCATGATGAGAATCACCTGGTGGAGCTGTTAAAACACAGATTCCTGAATCCCAACTAAGAAGTGCTAAACTAGAATTTTTGAGAACATATAGGTAAAATTGCATACCTAACTTAGTGCTCTGTATATAAAATCTGTCTTAAAGCACTAGTTAAGTATACAATTTTACCTATATGTTCCCAAAAATTCTAGTTTAGCACTTCTTAGTTGGGATCCGGGAATCTGTGTTTTAACAACTCCACCAGGTGATTCTCATCATGAGAGAAGGTTGGGAAACACTGATATAGACCACTATTTTTGTAAAATAGTAGTATAATAAAAAATGAATTATTAGAAAAATAAAATAAGAAATGCAAAATATAAGCTTCCAATTTGTATTATTAAATTAAACAAATATAAAGTTATATTGTTAAATTATGAAAGTTTTTATTTAAAAAATATATATTTTTTTATTAGTTTCAGAGAGGAAGGATAAGGGAGAGGTAAAAACATCAATGTTGAGAGACAATCATTGATGGGCTGCCTCCTGCATGCCCCACACTGGGAATCGAGCCCACAACCTGGGCATGTGCCTTAACCAGAAATTGAACCTTGACCTTCTGTTTCATAGGTTGATGTTCAACCACTGAGCAACACTGGCCAGGCTAAAAGTTTCTAAACACTCCCAGTTTCTACACTTTTACCATTGAGGACCAATAACACAGTTTGCAGAAAAATACTGGTTTTCAGACTACACTTTGAATAGCACTGATTTCATAATTTACCACCCATTTCACCTGGGCCTTTCAAGAGAGAGTAATCATTACCTTAGAGGCAGAAAGGTTTGGATAACAAGACACCTGCATTAACACTGAGCCCTGGAACCATTCACTGTCCACATTAAGGAGACTTTCCCATCCCCTGTCTTTACCAACGTGACTTTATTCCACAGAATATGTAAAAGATAAAAGTTACACATAACTACATAACTTAATTGTTATTTTCAAGAACTTACCTTCAAATTTCATGGAAATGAACAGAAGACCCTTACACTTTTCAATAGATAGCACTGAAAAGACTATTTAATCTCTAAGACTCTTAGAAAGTCGTGGCTTGTGTCCACTAATCTTACACTATTTTATCACGATCCTTAGTGAAAATTAACTAAGCACCACCTCAGGAAAGTCCTGCCTTAAACCAAATTCCAAAACCTTTCAATGATCCTACTCTGCCCCGGCTCCTCTCCAGTCCAAGATGTTACTAAGCTGTGAAGGCAGGGCTCTCCTCACCATCATGTACAATAAACTCGGGTTTGCCTTCTCTACAGCTTGTTTTGCTGGTATTTTCTGGGAGCCAGCATTCAACAATCAGGGCTTGCCTTGGTTGGTTCCTTCTTTGTCTTGCCCAGCGGCTTCCAAACTTTAGTGTGCATAAAAATGACCAAAGAGGGCTGTGTATGCAAAAGCATGCATGCACAATTTAAGAGATCTCCATGTGTAACTCTGACTGTGTCATAATTAGGACCTATGCCTTGCACAAGATGTCAGCAATCGGTAAATATAGAGCATCATGAGACATTAGAGCTGAAAGTGGTTTTAGGTGCTCAAATCTGAGCATGTGGATCAACATCACCTGATGTACGTAATTCCTGTAAAAAAAAAAAAAAAAGCCTATCTCTTGGTTTTAGCTCAGATGTACTCAACCAGAATTTCTAGAGATGGGGGCCTGTGAATGTTTGTAACAAACTCCCTAAGGGACTGAGATGCACAAGCAGGTTTGAGAACCTCTATTCTCTTCCATTTGGTAGATGAAGAAATAGAGACAGAATGGGAGTCAAGGTGCCTAAGATCCCATAGCTATTGAGCTGTGTTTCTCATGATTCTTTGACAATGTTCCCAGGGCTGGAGGTCAGATTTTGGAGGTGCCCTCATGCATCTAATATCCTGAACACGTATGATAATGATGTAATCAAAACCATTCTATTTTGCTTCTCAGCATCTCTTTTCAATTTATCAGGGGGTAGGGGTGGGGGCATAATCTTCTGCTCTGGGGTGCAAGTTCTAGCAGTCCTCATGACTTCTCTGCTTCCTGTTAGGTAAGAGGCACAAGGTAAAGTATAATTTTCAAAAAAAAGTAAAACTTGGACTTTGCAGCAAAGATAAAATGAACACATATTCTGCTTAATCTATTGACCATCTTGTTAGTTACATTTTTGTTCTCAGAAATTGCTGCTTATTAGTTTTCTCATTAGCTCAGGTGAAAGGCAGGTGAACTATTAAAAAAGTTTAAGAACATGTCCTCGGCGGGATGCACAGCTGGCCGGCTGAGGACACATAGGCACTGGGATGGGGTTCAAGTTTCAGGCAGCTACCCCCCACATTATTCAGACCACTTGGCTTCTTGAGACCACTACTTTGCTCCATTCTTTTGGTTTCTACTCATCAGCATGTGGCTAAAAATGGACACCCATCTTAAGTCTGCAGGATCATCACTAACTTCTTAACTTTGGACAAGTCTAAGCTAATTCAGGTTCTTGATTGAGACCATCTTACTGGCTGATCTCCAGGCAAGCATTAGCAGCGCTTTGGGTCAGGTCACTCAGCTGTAGCTACTTGGAGGAAACATAGTTGCCAAGGGGCTGGGTGAGTGAATGAGTGTGTGTGTGTGTGTGTGTGTGTGTGTGTGTGTATGTGTGTGTGTATGTGTGTGTAAGAGACAGATAGAAGAGGCCAAGTGAGAACTTAAAGCGGGCATGCTTAATAAAACGTGCCCTTGAATCATTTCCAGCACGAGTCCTTGAAACACTATGTCAAGAACACCCCTGTTATCCCAAATGAGTCTTGTCCTTCTGTTGATTTTATTTAGGAGGGATAAATTGGGGGGGGGGGGGCGTTATCTCACAGGATGCCATGATTGTACCTTCCCATTCATGTTTACACCAACATTTGGGAACCTCCTTTGCACAAGCCATTGAACTGCTAGAAGCAGGGATGTCTCTAAGAAGTCTGGGCCCTGTGCTTATGAACTTCAAACCTCTCAGTTTGGGATATGGAGTGAAGAGGAGGTTGGATGTGCCCACTTACGGCACAGCTGGGGCCAAGTGCAGGAACAGTCAGATGTGCCCAGTTGGTGGGGCCTAAACACATTTTGGTTCGCTCTATTTCTCTCCAAACTCCCTTTTGGGAACAAGACAGGGGCCTATTAACTGCAAAGGTAGAGAAAAGCTGGGGTATAAAGCAAGCACCTGAGTCAAGACCCTGGGCGACAGAGTAACAGGTGGGTTAAGTTCAGCAATCACTGCACCGTGGTGGATTTGCGCAAGGATCCGGGCTGGGTGCGGAGGAAATGAGGCTTTCAGGCTCCGGCGCTCCCAGGCTGGAGGGTCCCTCACACATCCACCGATAAGGCTGCCCATCCTCCCAGGAGCAGGTTTGGGGCATCCTCCCGGCTTTGGGCAGCCCAAGGACGCAGAGAGCAGGCCTGCCTGGAGCTAGGGCCCCAGCGCACAGATAGCTCCCCGCAGGGCGGAGGGCGGCGCGAGGGAGGGAGAGAGGGAAGGGAAAGGCGAGCGTGAGCTGCCTTACATGCCTGGAATAATTCCGCTTCCGTTTGGAAAGCCGCAGCCTCAGTCCCGCCGCGCCCGCCCAGCGCCAGCTCCGCGTCCCGACCAACCGGCCCGCGGCTGTCTGCGCCACCGCCATGGCCTCCTCCCCGCAGAAGTCGCCCTCGGTCCCCAAGTCTCCCACCCCCAAGTCGCCCCCATCGCGGAAGAAAGATGACTCCTTCTTGGGGAAACTCGGAGGGACACTGGCCCGGAGGAAGAAAGCCAAAGAGGGTGAGTGAGTGGGGCCGGGCCGCAGTGCGCTCCGAGCGGCGGGGGCTGGGGTCCGCGGGGCTGGGGCTCCGGCCCGGCGGGGGCGCGCCGCGGGTGCCCGGCGGGGAGAGGGGCGCGGCGACGCGTGCGCGCGCTTCCCGGGCCGGTGGTGGCGGGCCCGGCGCGCCCGGCCGCTCTGCGCCATCCTGTGCTGCGCTCCAGGCCCCGGCGGCGCCCGGGGGGAGCTGCCGGGGCCTGAGACCCGGCACCGCCCGCTCCGGGGCCTGGGCTGGGGCCGCGTGGCCGGAGGGCCCGGGATGGCGGGCCCGCCAGCCGGGAGGCGGTCGGTGTCCGCCTCCACGTAGGCCCCAGGTCCCCGCCCTCCAGGCGCCTGAATGCGGGCCTTTCTCAAGTTTCTGCGGAGACTTTTCTGGGCGCCTTCACTCTCGCTTTTTGCCTCTCGTTGGTCTTTGAAATCAGGTCGTTTGTTGGAGTCCAGATGCAGCGTTTGGCCTCTTTGGATCTTGTCCATTTCCAAGGCCTAGTGGGGCTCTCCTAATGAGGAGGTCAAGATCGAATGTTTGTTGAATGAATGAGGGAAAGGCTGGCGTTCCCCCCAGGATGAGGCGCGCACACTTAGCATCATGTCCACGACCCTTCTGTGAACTCAGGAGCTGAGAGCTCTTGCAAAGACCATTTCCTTTCCCAACCCCGGTGAACTGAAGCGCTTATTATTCTGTTTTTTTTTCCAGGACAATTTGCCTTTGCCTGTAAAATAGTTTGTCTCATGGGCTCGCATCCTGGCTTTGGATTTGAAAAATGAAGTGACACTTCTGAAGAAGCTAGTGATTGATGGGTAGATACCCGTGTTTCCCCGAAAATAAGACATCCTCCAAAAATAAGACCTAGCGCCTGGAAAGATAAGACATCCCTTGAAAATAAGACCTAACGCAACTTTGGGAGAAAAAATTAAGATAAGACACTGTCTTATTTTCGGGGAAACAGGGTAGAAGTTGCTTGGTTACTTTTTCTTTTTTTCATAGACTGCTCAGTGGTGTGGGAATAACCCCTTTGAAGGCTGTGCTACTGAGATGTACGTTTCATGTTCCTGAGTTACTTTAAAGCACATGTGTCAAACACAAGGCCCGCGGGCCAAATCCGTCCTGCCAGGCCTTGCAATGTGGCCCGCACCGCGCTGTCATCACTGCACTCCGCTGCGTTTCCATCACAATGACAGTTTATGACTGTTCAGTAAACTATTCGGCCCGCGATTTAGGCTGGATTTTAGATTTTGGCCCCTTCTCTGATTGAGTTCGACACCCCTACTTTAAAGTATAAGAAAAGAACTTCGCTGTGGAGCATTACCCACGTTGACACAAAGGGCTGGACTCCCATTCTTTTATCTTGAAGTGAGAAACGGCGGCACGTCCCCCCAGATGTTTTCCCCTATTTGGTTATTTTGGTAAACCATAGAGTAGTGTGCAGTTGGTAGCAAATCATGAAATCCTGACTCGGAGAGGCCTTTTCTAGACCACCCTTCTCTTTCCTGCAGTGTTCCTGATGTGGACTCTCTGACTTAAGACTGGGCAAGTCGGAATTCCTAGAGCTCATGACCTCCAAGGAGAGCTCGTCCCACCTCTGCCAACCAGTTCTTTAGAAAAGTTAACTTCGCAGTAAAAGCAAAAGCGTGGTCTCTGTATTCACGGAGCCAGGAGAATGAGTCTGAAGGTGGCCGTTCACTTATATCAGGTAGACTAGCCCCATGGTCGGCAAACTGCGGCTCACAAGCCACATGTGGCTCTTTGGCACTTTGAGTGTGGCTCTTCCACAAAGTACCACGGCCTGGGTGAGTCTATTTTAAAGAAGTGGCATTAGAAGAAGTTTAAGTTTAAAAAATTTTGGCTCTCACAAGAAATGTCATTCGTCATGGTACTGTTGATAGTTGGCTCTGTTGACTAATGAGTTTGCCGACCACTGGACTGGCCTATTTCCCCTCACCAGGCCAAACATTTCTGTTCCTAGAGATTGTCCTCGAGATTTTATGGCTTGCTGCCATCCTACCTCTTCTATTTCTCTCAGGGTCCCCGAAGGAAACAGAAGGTCAACTAAGTTGGGACTTTGAAAATCATGAAGGGAGGGACTATTTACAGAGTTGTGGGCAGGGTTAAGGGAACCCAGAGGGATGATGAGGAATCCAGGGACTAGCAGCAGATGGGGATGGGAGACTGTGACCACCCCTAGATCCGAAGGGATGAGGGGAGCAAACCAGAACCCACTGAGGGCTGGAGCTCTGGAAGGGGGGCTGCCTGACAGGAACTGCAGGGGTTCAGGGACACATGTGCTGTCAGAAACGTGGAGGTGGATGGAGCAGGGAGATGTAGCACAAGTGAATTCTGCACGTTCTCTCTCCTGGCCCTGAATCTCTTGCTGATCCTTTGGATTGGCTGGACCCAGGTGGAAGTCACCAGCACAAGGGATTCTGGGTGATATAGGGGTCAGAGCAGTGTGGAGAACAGATCATGGTGGGGGGCAATGGGGGATGACAGACCCTCTCAAAGTGAGCTGCCCAGAAGTCAACATAGTACAGTAAGTAGTAGTCCAGTGCAGCCAGCCGTGGTGGTCACCTCCTTTGTTCTAGCCTGGACATCGTGTTCTATTAATGCAGCCAAGGCTGCTCTTATTCCCATCGCCACCTTCATCACATGGAGATTATCAGCTGAAAGACATTATGTTTGTTGCTCCTAAATCGTTTCCTTCCCCATCTCAGGTTTACTCAATTGGGTTTTGTTAAACCAAGTGCAAGATCCTTTTAATCCTCTGTTATACGTAACTGTTAAATCCTGACTCTGTCATTCAGTCAGTTAGCTAATTTAGGTGGTGTAAATGGGTACATTGAAGAGTGCATGCTTTTCCTAAAAGGGCCGGCCCTCACCAGCTCCAGCTGCTTGCTGTTGCTTGAAACCACAAGCAAGAAGGCAGTAGGGCAGGTTTGAAATGACCTGCACTTGGTGGTGGTGGGGGAGGGGGGGTGCTGAGTCTTGGTGATCAGTGCTTGACTTTGCCAGAGGCCCACTAGATCATCATTCCAGTAACAGCAAGGTTAGATCTTGCCCCGGATCATGCATAATCTCACAGCTCTGTGCTTTGCAGAAACTGCCTTCTTCCACTTTACCTCTAGTGTTCTAAAATCTCCCTTTCTTCATGATTCCTCAAGATCACAATGTGGGTCTAGCCACAAATTATTTCAGTGCTTTGGCATAGAATTGTCCTGGCCCAAGGACTATCCTCATTCGATATCTGTTGTGCCCCACTATAGTATACAAAGACTGGAAGGACATAATACATGTTAGCAATTAAAGTCAATAGTTTAATATAAAAACTAGTGACCTGGTGTGCGGATTCCTACACCTTGAAAGGAAATTAATTAGAATGTGGCTGGTGGGGTCGGACATAACCCTGGAGCCAACCTTTCCCCTTCCCCCGTCCCCGGTGTATGCGGAATGAGTGGGGTCTCTCTGGCAGGTGGGGTCCCTTGGCCTGGCCTGCGGGGAAGGGGCCATATCCAGCTCTCCGACATCCCCTGAGGGGTCCCGGAGTGTGAGAGGGCACTCTGCAAAGTTGCTATCATATAGGGCACATGTGTCAAACACAAGGCCCTCGGGCCAAATCCGTCCCGCCAGGCCTTGCAATGTGGCCTGCACCGCGCTGTCATCACTGCACTCCGCTGCGTTTCCATCACAATGACAGTTTATGACTGTTCAGTAAACCATTCGGCCCGCGATTTAGGCTGGATTTTAGATTTTGGCCCCTTCTCTGATTGAGTTCGACACCCCTAATAGGGTATGGAACGCAAATGCAAGTGTGCAGTAAACCAGATTCGGGGCCGACAGTGCCCCAGCAACAACATAACGCATGGCTGAAGGTGGAATCACATGGCCACATGAGGAATCAGGCTCCCACCTCTCTGGTTTCGGGGTGCCTCATCCAAGAACCGCCGCTGCCAAGTCACTGCAGCACGGCAGCTCCTGCGTTGAGCATCTGTCCAATGGTGGTCAGTGCACGACATAGCAACCAATCATGTGGTAGGAGGGACATTTAGCATTAGTCTTTCATATGTATAGATGAACCTTCCTAAGAGTACTTTCTAGCATAATCATAGGATGTTATAAATCTCATAAGAATACACTGAAACTAGTCATCACTCCAGTGTTTTCATAAGGAAAAAAATAGCATTAGAGAGGCAAGAGATAATAGAAGTTAAAAGTATGGCATTTAGGATTAGACAACTTTGGATTTGATTTCTGCTCTCCTTATTTATTGCTATAATTTAGGACAAGTGTCTTAATCCCTCAAAGCCTTTGTTCATCTATAAAATAAGAATAAAAATGCCTTCCTTACATGGAGGATGTGAGGTTAAATGAGATAAATATGCATAACATGGCACAAATAATAGCTATTAAAAATGACAGCTCAATTTTACAGTCTTTATGTGTTGAAATAGTCTTTCATTGGGGACCGTAGAGGATGCTATAGGTTCTGCAAATAGCCTAGTAGCCCATGACTGTGTGAAGCCCATGGAAGCACTGTTTGGATTCCTTAGGAAATTAGGGATCTTTTTTTGCAAGTCAGATCCTCCTATTTCCAAAATATCACATTTCAGCACTGCAAACACCTGAGCCCCTTCCAGTGCGTTGTAGCTCACTAGAGCAGCGGTTGCCAACCAGTGGCCTGTGGTTTGTGAGGTCTGAAAGGCGGCCCTTAGCTTAAGGAAACAGAGGCTTTTGGTTTTCTCTGTGGATCTCCTCTTTGGGGTTGCCCATTCCCATTGATGCCCCACATGCCCTCATGGGGAGGTTCTTTGATGAGCCTTTCAGACTCCACATGCCAAACTTTTCACCTTGCTGCTTCCAGATCTATCTCCAAGGCTTGCTCTTCCATGAACACCTTCTTGAATGTATTTGCCAGCTGACAGTGCCCTACATTGGGTCAGCAGTTATGGTTATTCCTATCATTTACCCATT